TAAATAATAATCCACGTTAAACTGGTACACAATTAAAAACATTTTATTTAGGCCTATCTATGACCTAAATAAAATGTTTTTAATTGTGTACCAGTTTAACGTGGATTATTATTTATGATTTTAACATCATTATTTGTTACATTTTTTGTATTTACACAGCTCACAAAGACTATCAGCAGCTTTCTTTGGTTCCAATGACTGAAGAAACTCACGGTGGTGAGGATGTTGCCCTATATGCTATTGGGCCTATGGCTCATTTGTTTCATGGAGTGCAAGAACAGACATACGTAGCCCATGCCATGGCCTACACATCATGTGTGGGTCACAACAAAGAACATTGTCAAAAAAAACCTCAGGAGCAATATGAAAACTGTGGAGTGAAGTCAGCCTTCAGAAACACATTGTTGGCAATTTGTTTTGTGGTGTTTTTCATTTGAGGAAATTTTTTATAACTTTTATATATATTTCATATGGTTTGTATCATTTATCTGAATAATATTATATTTCCAAAGTGTACACACTTGCACATAAGGTGTCGTGTTTAGTATTATTACTGTAGTTGCTTTATTTGGATGGCCTATAATTATTATCTGATCTGAACAAAAGTACAATGAACAACAAGTTCAGTGCATAGCTCATAACTTTATCCAGTGGTTTTGTTCTTGTATATCTATAGATATTCTGACAACTTTAAGCCCACTGTCCAAATATATTTGGCCATATGGAGGACCATTGTCTTCTATTGAAGTAACAAAATAAGACTTTAGTTTAAATATGATGTCACAGTAAGAAAAAACAAAAAGAAACAGTTAAGAGTCAAGATGAGAAGATATTAGTCAAATAAACATCTCAGTGTTGTATTAAGGGCCATTTTTTTGTTTTAATCCTTATCTGTAATTATTAGGGATGCACGGGTACCCTGCCAGATATTGGGCTACCCAGTAATGTTCTGCTCCGGCCGAGTATCGAAGTTAGGCATCTAAGCCCTAATATTTGTGGCAACTAACACGGTACTGAAAGTTACACTCAATAATTGGTTTAGTTTTTTAAAAAAAAATGTGTTCCAGGCACCAAAGACTGACTGCCCACTGAAAGTCAGGGATTCAGAGAACAATAGGGGTTAATAACAGGCATGGCTTGAGAAGTGGATTTCTGGGGAAGATGAAGGTTTTGAGAACAATAGGGGTTAGGGTTTGAGAAGTTGGGGCTAGGCATTGAAAGTAAAACTTGAATGTTCTGTTGGTGATTATTTGGTTATATGTAATAAACATCAATTTTGTTTTTGTTTATAATTTTTGTGTATATTTGGGGGGGAGAACTCAGTCCCAGTTGATACCTGGCCCTGGCCAAAGCTTAGTGACCAGGTATCCGGACCCAGTGTTCAGCCAAATTTTGCTACCCGTGCATCCCTAGTAATTATATTACATCAGTATGACTTTAATAATTAACTTTAACAATTTGCATCCATACTAAACAGGAATGTGTTCTTATTGATACTTTTCAGTTTTTAAGATGCAAATGTGAAACACAAAGTCTATAGTACAAAGTATTTTAAATGTCTATAATTGTTATCATTTTAACTACTGAAGATTCCCAATATCCAAATATTGTGGATTGCACTGAAAAAAATTCAGGCAACAATAATAATGAAGTAATGATGTTAACTTCACTATACTGACAGATATGTGAATTTTTATGTTGGTTTGAAATGTATTTTTTTAAGAGTAAAACAAATATTGTAAACAACTGATACTGTTTTACTTTTTTTTTGGTGTGAATGATTATGTAATCATTGATTAAAATCCATTTTGTAAATCTAGTTTGTTGTTATATTATTGTATATTATTTGGGTATGGCTTAAAAGTATATATTTTAATACCTTTTACTTATGTCAGTAAAGAGAAAAACAATCTGTCATGTGTTTCAGTTACACAGAAATAAAGAAGTACAAAGTATATACTCCTGAATGTGTGAATAACCTACATACTTTCAAGCTGCCATGATAGTATAATGCAATTCAAATCTTTGTACTATATCTTCAAATTAATCCTGTACATAACTAACAAATAATTGTTTCATTGTTTGAGAATAACATAGATTATATATTTTGTTGCATACAAGTTTTTGTTTCACTATATGTTACACATTCTCAAAGTTATCTACTTAACTGTCTAACCAGGTAAGATAAAATAAAAATAACCAACTGACATCACTCATAGTTTTTCATCACAAAATGGAATTCTAAATATCTAAATGCTTTTGTTGAAACAGATTTGAATGTGTTTGACCAAAATATACAACTGACTTTGAACATAAATGATCTATTTCCAAAGAATTATCTAAAAGGTACAATCTGATTGGAATACAGCTGTATCTAATGTTATCATACAACCAAAATAGATGTACATGAGCATATAGTGTATTATATGGAATTTGATGAGTCAATAACTTTATATAATGTTGTCATACATTCAAAATACCTGTATATAAGCAAGTAGTGTATATTACATGGAATCTTGTTGGTGAAAAGCTGTATGTCATACAATCACAATAGTTGAATATGAGCATTGAGTGCATATTACATGGAATTTGGTTAGGGAACAGCTATATGAATGTTCTCCTATAACCACAATAGTTGTACATGTAGATGTAGTATGTATCATATAGAATCTGGTGAGTTAACAGCTATATGAATGTTCTCCAATAACCACAGTAGTTGTACATGTAGTGTGCATTATAAAGAATCTGGTGAGTTAACAGCTGTATGTAATGTTGTCCTACAACCACAATAGTTGTACATGTAGTGTGCATTATAAAGAATCTGGTGAGTGAACATCTGTATGTTATATTGCCATACAACCACAATAGTTGTACAAGAGCATGTAGTGTATTACATGAAATCTGGTTAGTGAAAAACTGTATATAATTTTGTTATACAACCACAATATTTTTAAATGAGAATCCAGTTATTGAACAGCTACTTATATCATTTATTATACAGCCACAATAGATGTAAATGAGCAAGCAGTGTGTATTACATGGAATTTGGTTAGTGAACAGGTGTATTGTCATGCAATTTACAATAGTGGTAGATGAGCACTTACTGTATGTTACATGGAATCTCATTAGTGTATAGCTGTATCTAATGTTGTCATACAACCACAGCAGTTGTACAGGTAGTGTACTAAATGGAATATAATTATTGAACAGCTGTATCTAAGATTTACAAACAAATCACTTTCACTAAGACAATAATTTAACTTATCTAATGAGAAAATAATTTCAACTAAAAACCCTACATTTGTATTATAACCTAAGATTGAATTATTATCTGCAAATATAATCTGTTTTGTATAAAATAATAAATCCAGTATATCGTTAACAACAGTGGTCCCAGAACAATGCCCTGAGAAACACCTTTTGCACTTATTTAGTCATAAGAATATCTGTTATTGATATTAACTTTTGAAATTTTGTTTTATAAATACTCTCTAACCAGTTATGCATTTCACCCCTTTTTTCAATTGTGAATGTTTTTTTAATAATAAATTATGATTTACACAGTCAGATGCTTTAGATAAGTCTAAAAACACTTCTATGACAAATTAACTTTTCTCCATTTTATCAATAATACACTCACATGAAACTTGAAAAGCTTGTTGTGTTGATTTGCCCTTATAAAAATCAAACTGATATTCACACAATAAATCAAAGTTATTAACAAAATCTACTATAAATTGATTTTTCTAATATTTTTGAGAACATGCTTAATATAGTTATTGGTCTATAATTAATAATTTGTCTTTTTAAATATTAGTACTATTTTTGCTTTTTTTAAAGAATCTGGAAAAAATTGTTTGTCAATACATAAATATATACTGTAATGGAACAGTAATAAATTCAATGATTTTTTTTATAACTACTGTAGATATCTAACTGCTTTTGTATTTAAAACTTTTTTTACAATATTAATTATTTCACTATTGTTTATTAATTTCACAAATATATTTCTCAAATTATCTTTTGGATTATCAATCAACCTGATATTTATTACCCTTATGATTTATTTTTTCATCAATTAATCTATGTCATTAATAAAAAAAATCATTAAATGCATTTACGTTGCTTAATGAATCTGTTATTGTAGTATTATCACCAACAGATTATAGCATTATCAAGAATTATGTCATCAACAAACTATTCTGTTGATGATTTATTCAATAATAAATTATTACTGCAGTTCAATTTATTTTTTGCATCACTATGTTAGAGCAAGATACTATAATAATAACTTTAATTGATATTTCTAATATAAACTGATAATTTATTTCTGAACACAGCATACTTATTTCTATCATCATTATTATCAGATAATTTAGCTTTAAATGTTAATTTAATTTTTATTATTGTTTAATTTATATATAATTGTTAACCCAAGATATATTTCTATCAATTCTAAAATGTTTTAGGGTGTAACATTCATTGTTGCTACAGGCAAACAGCTATTGTAATAACTTGAAAGACATTTAAAAAATACTTAAAACCTTAATTTACATTATATATATATATATATATATACCATGTGAGGTATCCCAATTAATTATACTTAACTCACTGTGTAATTTCTTAACATTTCCATATAAGTTGTTTATATATGATATTGCAAGAATTAATTAGATAAAAATATGATAATAACCAGTAATAAACAGCCGTAAAACTTCCATTTCAACCATCTTAAAATTAGAAACAACATAATTAGTTAATGTATTGCTTTTTCTGTTACTCTTATTGGCAAGTTAAAATTGATTACACTGTTATTTTGATTACAATAAACTAAATCATACAGAATACTAACATGCTTTTCTTTGTCTTTTGAAAGATTAATATTAAAATGTCTTACTATAATAAATGGTGATTGTTCCTGATTTAGCATAACTAATACATGTTCTAAACTTTCCATAAATATTCTTAAACCATCTTTAGGTGGCCTATAGAGACAGCCTGATTACAAATTATTAATGTTTAGTACTATAACTTCAATTTCATCATTCAAAGTCAATAAACTTTGACACACATCAAATAATTTTTGCTCTTTAAACTGCAGTGACTCCACCTTTTCTGTCTCGCCTATTTGAAAAATAAGCAAAATGACCTTGAATATTAAACATTAAATAATCATCTGTAAGCCATGTTTATAGAAATACCAAATAAATAAAATCAAGTTTTATACACTCTAATTCCTGTAAAATTTCATCCATATTCTTTCTCAGACTTCTTGCATCCATGTAATATATTCACAAACCAGCAAAATCACCAATTTTGTTTTCCATTTGATCAATTTCAACATAATCACCAATATCATTAAAATCTAAAGAGTTCAAACTACTTAAATCATTGACCATCATCAAAATTATAATATAAATATATTACATTACAATATTTTGATATCATTTTCATTTATGATGTGTATGACATTCATTGATTCTTCCTTTCTGATAAGAACTCTACCATTCTTAACCCAAGAGAATTTTTCCCCCTCTTAATATATGCCTTATGAAATAAATCTTTAAAAAAATGTGCATTTACATACATCTAGCAAGTTCTTTATTAACAATTCCTGCTTTCTTCACTATCAATTAATTTTTACATTCAGTTTTTAATGCAGAGACCTGTTGCTAAATCTAACTATTACAGATCTTGGAAATTTCCTAATTATGTCATTTTTAACCTGTTTTATGCAAGTTTTCTATGACATTAGGTCCCATTGTGATGTCTAAAGCAATATCTACCTCCTTAACTATTACCTCTGTGTTTTCATGAATCATTTCAGTGACTTCCAACTATATTTTGATTGTAACTTTGTTGTTTGAATTTGTTAAGCCTGTTCTTCCAGTTTGAAATCTCCACTGCTAAAAATGTTTTCACATTTTAATTCTTCAACTTCTTTCTTGCAATCAGTCAGTTCTTAAAAGCTATTTTTACTTGTCTTAACAATTTATCATATTTCTGAGAGTTAAAAGCTATACTTTCAGACAGTGTTGAAATCAATGTGGTGATATTTTTAATCTCCTTTATCTATAAGAATAACACTAATAAACTTAAAGTAGCCTTAAGTCTGTATCACTATATGTGGGCTGCTTACTTTCCTCATGACATTTATTACACTTTCATTTTGATGTATATACTTTTGAAAACTTTTTTCTATAAATCTGGTACATTGCGCTTTATCAAAACATTTCTGTTGATGATTTTTTCATTGGATGCCACACATTTCTCACTTACTTCTTTTGCTGCCATATTGAATATCAACTGCAATAGTTGTACCAGTAGTTTGTATACATGGAATCTGGTTAATGAATAGCTTTATGTAATCAGAGCTTTTTCTAAGGATTTTTTTCAACAGCGCAATTATATTCTAATTTCATCATTTTAGAATACATGATGCCTTATTGCACCTAACATATACAGGTCTAGTAACAAATGATCCAAAAAAATGAAGAATATTCTAGTAAATACATTTATTCATTAACTCTAGAATGGAATTTTATAAACTTAAATATATGTTGTTGTTTTTAAATATTTCTCCACTTGAACTTACTTTTATAGGTGAATTTTCAATTGCACAAGCTAACGTTTTCCTAAATTGAAAATGTATTTCCAATAACACTTACCTCCGCTGACACTTATAGCTATTACTGGACCACTAGGATTTCTTTTTTTGCCCATCTAAGCATTGGTCTGATTTTTTCTTGCTTGCTCCAGTCTTTTATACTCCACTCAATTGCCTTTGGCGATATTTGTCTTGGTATATAAGCACTTCATTGACATAATTTTATCATTTTTTCAAGACTGACACCATTCCAGTCTATGACACCTGCTCTCAGTTAGGAGGAAGAGTGTCAGTATTATTATTAGAAATACATTTCCAACTTAGGAAAATGTTAACTTCCAAAACATACTTACTACCACTGACACTTATAGCTAGAATCCCACATTGAGAAGGTGGAGGGGCTGGTGAGAGCATTATTCATACAGAAAGCGTCTGCATACATCATGGGTATACCAAGATAAGATTGGTATCCAAGTGGGGGTTTTGCACTACATTCAGAACATGTATGCTCTTCACCCTGAGCTTAGTTCCTGTATCAAGGGTGGAATTGTACATGAGCGATCATCACTATAGGCCAGCCCAACCAGATAGCTAAGGTTCTAATACTTGGGGTTGGAATTATGGAGTCTTGATCCTCATATCCCACGTTGGTGGTTAGGGCAATTGGCCACAACTTTACATATATGACATATATATATATACTATTGATTGAATCCCAATGTATAGCCAAATATTCTGAACCACCAGAATGATGAATAAAAAGTAAGCCATATTAAAGCAGAAAAGCCTTCTCTTCCACCTGAAGAAGCCCAAAAGCCAGCAACCCAGGTTCTGAATGACGAGATTGTGTATGCCATACTCAACCAAAAAAACAAAACTCATCTGGTCTGGAATTGTGAATATTCATTCTCACTCGTCGACTGAGTGGGCAAGGAGCATTCCAGTTGCCCCCGGAATTATGGGGATGATATGGAACAACTGTGCTCAACCAAGGACCCAGGATGGGACCACTCTGCATTTGGAAATATGAGGAGATTGTGGACCCCCTTTCCATGAACAATGTACTGAAACATTATTCATCAAAATGAAGGGCCATGCACACCCCAAACAGATAGCTGAGAGTCAAATCTGAACTAGTATTATGAGTAGGCACCTGCATAGGCTAGTGCTGCTCCTACCAACAACTGGAAAACAAAATTCAGGGACCCAGGTAGGAGGGCCCCTAACTTTGCCCTCTTATCACTCTATCACTCTGGAGGAAAAGCCTTTATCCACCACCCCAGTGACTGGAAACCATGTATGTTAAGGACTCCCTAACTCTACCAGTAGAATCTGAGGGGTAATGCATGTTGGATAGTCCTGACGAACAGTGCCTTAGAAAGTTTGCAAGAAGTTCCCTAAATTTTTAAAAGCAAACCAACCCCGATTTATTCAATCCAATGAATGGCTTTTAGCTTTACTCATGATAGTCCATGAGTGATGGTCCAGCATAGTATGATAATACCACCTGGTGAGCTCCTAGGTGGTCTTATGGAACACCTTATTTCTACAGAGCCTGTAGCAATTGGTAGTGATTATAGTGAAATAGTGTTTGCAAGTGTAGAATTGGTTTGATAAAAGCATACTTGCCTGGGCAGCACTCACCACAGAGTGCGATCCTGTGAAAATGAGGTAAGGGGCCCTGAAAGGTAGAAATAAAAATACTCACCCCTCTGGATAATGTAGCAGAAATGATTAAGATAGCTACAGGGGCTAGGCAAAAACCCTCAGATGAAGAGACTGTCGGGATCAAGCAAATAATGTGAGATAAAGATATTGAGGGAGGTCCACATACCAGTCTACACAGTGACCTCCAGTGGGCAATTTGACCAGGCTGCTAAGGGCATAGAAAATATAATTCTGATTAAATGGGACACACAGAAGATATCTCGCCTTGAAAGAGAGCCCAGAATAGAAAGTGTTGTCTAGTATCTCTAAAGATATAAGAGCAGGCAACAAAACCGTCAAGACCCTGTCTGAACATGACCAAGATCGAAATTTGATGGGACATAGAGAGAAAGAGTGAGCAGATGAATAGGAAAAAAGATTTGAACACCTTTACTGTTTGAAAGAGTGTTGGGTAAGAAGAACTGGTCTCAGGAC